GGGACACCCTGACACCCCTGGGGACACCCTGACACCTTTGGGGACACCCTGACACCTTTAGGGACACCCTGATACCTCTGGGGACACCCTGACGCCTTTAGGGACACCCTGACACCTTTAGGGACACCCTGATACCCCTGGGGACACCCTGACGCCTTTAGGGACACCCTGACACCTTTAGGGACACCCTGACACCTTCGGGGACACCCTGACACCCCTGGGGACACCCTGACACCTTTGGGGACACCCTGACACCTCTGGGGACACCCTGACACCCCTGGGGACACCCTGAGACCCCTGGGGACACCCTGACACCCCTGGGGACACCCTGACACCCCTGCTCTGGCCCTTCAGAGGAACTGGAGCTGCCCAGATTCCCGGGATTGTGGAGATCTGCGTTCCCGGCCGTGGGAGCTGAACCAAAGCCCCAGAGAATTTCTGTTTGCTCAGGAGTGTGTCCAGCCCGGTGCCCACTGCCCTGGAACCCCTGAAATCATCAGATCAGGAATCAGCTCCTGTCTGCCCCCAGCTTTCTGGAATTCAGAATTCAATTCCACTCCTAACCCCCATGGTTTTTAAGAGCTGTCTCCATAAGCAAATACAAACTCTTTAAATGCACTGTCAACTTGAGCGGAAAAAAATCAATTTTGCATTAAAATCTTGTTTAATAAACAGTGAAATTGTTAACTGCAATGAACTGATCATTTTTCATCAGTGCACATAGGCTCCAGAAGCAGCAGGATCAGAGTTTTATTCATTGATTGAGGGAAAACAAATTTGTGCATCTTGGCACTCAGCAAACCACTCGTGGAATTCAATTAGTTAAATAAACTGAGATGAGAGAAGCAAACGCTGTGTTTACCTGCAACCAAGATGGGGCTGAAGAGCAATATTTAGAACTTTATTGTAAATTAAGTGTGAGGTTAGAGCACCTCCCTGAGCCTGCTCTGCTGGAGCCACGCTGGACCCTGCCCCTCACACCGATGGGAACAGCAAAGTTCAGCACACAATCACTGCCCTGAGACTAAGCTGTAATTAAAACCATTGTTCCACCTCAAAAAAACACAAACCTAGGGGAGAAAAACCCCTAAGAAACCACAGACATGGATGGGTTTGATTCTGAAAGGTGCCTTGGTGGAAGGATTGAACCGTGGATGGGAGGTGTCCCAAAACCACCGAGAGCGATGGCAACAGCTCCCAGAATGAACCTCCTCTCCTCTCCTCTCCTCTCCTCTCCTCTCCTCTCCTCTCCTCTCCTCGAGTCGAGTCGAGTCGAGTCGA